TTAATCCTGTCAGTTTGTTTCAACTTCGATTCCTTTTCTTTTTTGGTGAAAGTCTTTTTTTGTTTTATTTTTTTAAATCTCTGTAAATTGAATTTTTCTCACTTCTTAGCTAAAGAAAAAAAAAAGTTTATTAAATAATAAGCGAGCTGGTCGTATTTCAAAAAAGATTAATTTAAACGTATTTATTAAAAGTTTGGCAGTTTACTTCCTTCTTGGAAAAATATTGAACTTTTTGGTACCTTTTTTTAGCAGTCTTTATATATATTTTTATTTTATAATTTTTCTTTTATTTCAAAGGAATTTTTGCTATATTTATTCTCAACAAAAATATAGAGTAAATTTTTTCATTTTTTTAACTAAAATTTTTCAAAAATTTGTCTGTAAATTCTTCGTAAATTAAATTTATTTTTGGTATATATTTGGTACATATAATTTGATAATTAAAATTAAATATTAAATAATTAAAGTAATAATAAATCAGTTCCTTTATTTTTTCTAAACTTAAATTTTTCAACAATTTATCGGAAAGCCTCTTATAAATTAAATTTATTTTTGCTACGTATTTATTTACTTAAATGAAGATTTAATAATGAAAAATATTTTTAAATACTATGTAGAATAAAATTACTACAAATCTTATAATTCATTGAAAAATTGTAAGTTATTCTACATTATAAAATGTAGTCCTTAAAAGATCACAATCAAATGCGTGAAGTATCCTTTTGTTTTGCTGTTGGTCTATATATACTATATATACATCCAATCTCACTAAACAATGTTCGATCAAATTACAAGTCCTATAAAATTCAATTCAAACATTTAGTCGTGCCGGGTTAAGCTGGTAAAATACCAGAAAAATGAATGACCTTACACGCTACCATCTATCTAAAATGGAAACTTATGATATTATAGATACAGTATTGCATTGAAATGAATTTGAATTGACTTGTGAATTGATTGGAAATTGTTGGATGATAAAAACTACCGGCAAAATAATATGGGTATTTCACTTTTTATTCTTCTTTGTATTCCTGATACTTTGCATATAAACTTTTTATATAAAAATAGGCGAAAGCAAGATAAGTGTAGCACCCCACAGTCGATGACTTTGCTTAACATAAATATATAACCAAGATAATACATTATAATGAAAAGAGGGCACATGAGATAATTACCATCTACCCTGCTAGTCTACTAAATGAATGCTACATGACTGGTGTATGCCCAGTAGTCTTAGGATAAGAACAAGAAAAGTTAATTTTCGGCAAATTGGCCATATAAGAAAACATACATTGACATTTAGACACTTATGTTATCTCCATATGACATAAGGACAAATCTCATGAATGATATATAAGACTATATAAAATGCGTAATCAACCAGCAGTTCATGAAGACACAACTTTTGTTGGATGCCACATATCCTCCACAGAACCACTTAAACAAGTATACGGTAGATCCGTGAAGTTATGATTATCATGTTAGGAGACTCTCAAAGACATAGAAAATATCATTGGATATTGAGTTACAAGTGGCTGACTAGTCTTAGAGTAGCAATAACTAAGAGAAGCGAAACAAAGTTCTACCATATAAAAGGTATATATGGTACCAGAAGACTTCGAGTCTTAAATTTGTAAAATTGTTTTGATTATCGAACCTATTTCTGAACTAGATGTAAGGCAGAGTTCGATATATGAGAATAATAGATGACTCCTAGTCTTAAACTTTTATTCTTGTTTCTAAAAGTTTGATATTCTCTTTGAGAAGAAAATATCATGTTATTTGAAGTAAAAATATCTAGAAAAGGCGAGTAGTTCTCACTTATGGTATATGTGAAACATATTTTCATCCTTATGAACTTTTTCAAGAAGTTTCTTTATGAAGCCTATATAGAGTAAAGCGTATTTAGTCCTTTGTTTATAAGTTGGTTTATTTATAGTATCAATAAAATTAGAGTATAATGTATTAACCTTTGACTGATTACAACAGTAGTTTGCTGTTGATGTTATTTAACATATATTCATGGCTTTATAAAGATTATTAATTCGCACACTTCCCTTACTTTTTGTTTTAATAATTTTTAGAAAGTTGTGTTTTATTTTCCTCTTTAAATCATTAAGTAAAATAAATTAATATAATTTAGTCATATAAATTATATACATAATGTATTATATGCTCCGGATATCAACGACCAAAAAATTTATAAAAGGTTTAGGACCACAACCTTTTGAAGAGATCACTATCATAAACTAATCAGTAAAATATAAATGTATCAATTTAACACTATTTCACTATAATATATAATATTATGATGTCTTTGATGCAATATAAATCACATTTGTAACTTTCACTTTTAAGCCTATAACACTGCCTTAATTTCAAGGCATTATAACTCATTAGGTTCAATATTTCAATACTACTCCGTGAAAAAATAAATCAAACTAAATCTTAATTTTTCATAAAATATTCTGATTTTATTGAGTTATCAATGAATTACATAGTTTCATATGACACGAAATAGTGACCTCAAATCAAAATCAGTAACTTAAACCATAAATGCTCCATTAAACTATCGAAAATGTTGAGATCAGTTCGTTGGGCAGACGACATTGTGCGATTGTATCTATAACTATAATAATAGTGATTAATAAATAGTTATAATATATGTATTAATTATATAGAAATCTCTTTTGATATACGCAGTCATCAAAAAAAATCATACTATTGCAAAAATAATACCTACATACTTTTTGACAATAATAATTTAGTTTTACTATTACGATTACGAGTATTCTCTATTCTTTAGCACGAGGAGAGAATACCTTCTCACCTACTATATATATATAATACATTAAGCACTAGAAGAATACATACTTTTCAATTTGCCTTGTAGCGACAAGTAGAATATATAGGATCAGCATGTAGGTGTATATATGCAGAACCACCAACGGCCAATCGAAAATAATTACTCGGAACAATTGACGGACATTTGCACGTTGGACTGGTGGTGGTATTTCATCTTGATGAAGCTCTGCCTAATGTTGGAAGATTTTGTATTGTCATAACTTCGAAAGCACTCAATAATTATATATATTACCTGTGGTGCTGCCATTGTTGTAACTGTTTGAATTGTTCTTATTCTTATTTTATAGGGGCTTATAAACTGTTCAATTATCTCATTTAATAAAAAATGATTATACTATTTGTCTTTTCAGAAAATAACACAGAAATAAGTTCAACATAATCTAGAAGAAATATGACAAGTTTCTAAAGTCAAAGCAAACTTGTGACAGTAAAAAATAAAATATAATTCACAATATAAATGTAGTTCACAGTTAAACTATAGTTCACAATTACAGATTCATGGTAATTCGAAACAGACATATTAGCGGCGAGACTGAAAGTAGAAAAAAATAGATTTTTATTTCAAATAATACTTTTTTCTTTGAAAGTAAAGGAAGTTTAATTTGAAATTGAAAATCTATTGAAATTAATCACGGGCCTAGCCAAAGAAAAGGGATTCAAGGGAAAACTATAAGTTTATCGAAACTAATATTCGCAATATTTTATAACGAAAACCGGATTCATTGAGTTATTCTGTAATCAATTATTTCTAAAGTATTATCCTTCAGATCCTTCAGATAGCATAATATAACATAAGCAAAGGACATAGGCAAAAGAGTTTAAAAATCTTTTTAAGTAAATATCCATAACATGTGACAAAACTTTATAAGAGAATGAGAGAATGTTTCTATTTGAAAAAACTTAGTTTCCACTTAATTTTTTCAATATACTATTACGAAACTATATTTAATATACTATTGCTAATATACTATTACTATATTATAAGAAATTTATTAGATCAAAATAAGCAGGTCCCTGTGAGGACCAAATACTACAAAAGGTTAGAACAGCATAAATTAATGTAAAAGATATTAGTTTGTTCTATTGTGAATCAGTAATCCTAATCTCTTTCACTCCTTTTTTTTGATCAGAAATTTAGATATATACAAATGTTCGCTCTTATAACACAATAAATACAATACGAAGCGTAATATTTTGTACGTAAGTTGAAAAAAGACAACAGGAATAAACACTAGTACAGGTGGCAACACTGGAAACGTTATTATATGCTTCTTTTTTATGTATAACAAATAATCATATTTATGAAACTTAAATGAAATCTAAAATAAACTTAGACCAAAACCTTTTTCCGAATATATAAAAAATATATAAAATATATTAAAAACGTTAAAACCCAAAAGATGTAGCTAAAAAATTAAGGATATATTTTCATAAAACATTCACAATGGATGAGTTTATAGATCTGACAGCGATACGTTACGAGCAGCTTAACGGTAAGAATCTTGTTATTCAGACAGTCATATGACGATTGGTCACTATAATTTTATGCATTTCTTGGTCATACCCAGATGATATATTCTGCAGTTAGTCATATCACAATTGTTAGTTTCGTACGAATTATTTAGGAATAATTTTATATAAAAAATAGTTCATAAAGACCACTGATGATGGTCAGCCAAAAGTTCAATTAATTAAATAAATAATAATGAAAATAAAAATAATAATAAAATAATAATAATGGAAACAAAAATGACTAACTAAGTCAGCATTGTTGTTGTTTCATATATTATTTTTAAAATAAGCCGTTGTTCTTTTGGGACACACTTACAAAATAAAACGCCTAATAATAACAATTTTATTGTTGCAATTCACTACGGTTAGCAAAACTTGTCTATTAAAAACAATAACAATTTCATAATTTTGTTGTGACCATGACTGTCTGCATAACATGCCTCGGAAGCACTTTCTAAATAGTTATTTCAAGCATTTTTTTCCTATGGTACTTTAAAAATAGCTTTTTGCTGGTTTCAAAATATTATGCATATTACATATAATGTAATCGAAGTTCACATTGAATTCGTTTTTTATTTTCTCAATTTTACATAGTAGGATAAAATTTTTAAAAAAAAAATTATTGCTTCTTAATAAATTTTTTTCTCATCTTCTTGATTTCACATCCAAGATTCCATATCCAAATTTTAACCCAAAATTTTATTTGGAATCCAAATCAATAATGAAATGTACTCAATAATTACGAACTTTACATTCCAAAATTTCAAATGTCAGGTAAGATTAGGTTTGAAATTATATATGTACTTTAAGGTCAACCGATTAGAGGCTACATAGTAAATTTGTTTTTAAGGAAATCTTTTTAAGATTCTTGAATTTACGGAAAACATACTTGTATATACTTTTAAATAGAAGACCATACTGAATCCCTGGTTTAAAACAATAAAAAAATCTGTTTCACGCTACTTGGACTTCGATAATTTATTCTATTAATTTGCATTGAGATGGCTCCGAGACAGGTAAAAGTAGATTATGTATGTCTATGAAAATATTTAAAATCCAATATATATATATTTATGTATATAACAAAACTAAATTCTAAGTCAAAAATTCCTAATATTATTTACGAATTTCAGACAGTTTTCAATGCTTATGAAATAAAACCTAGAAACCGATTCCACAGAAGTATCATGAGATTAGTCTTGTTAGCCAATCTCCGAAGAAGAGCCCGTATATTAGATGAAATAAGAGTTTTATCATTAAGTTCTAAATTAGCAGCCTCTTTAGTTGCTGTTATTATAGTGTACGTATATCTATGTTGGTTTATTTTCACTGAAAGATATTCTGTTTTGGACTGAAAGTCATACAAACCAATTTGCAATAATATGTTTAACTTATAATATAACTAATAATAAAATTTTAAATAAATCGCTTTTTATTTTATATATATATAAAAGTTTAGTGGATAAACATTTACATTTATCATTTTTATTTGATAATACCAGTTCACATAAAGACTTCCAACTGACCATACAGTTGCACTTAATATTATTATTCAATTTCTGTTAATAAAAGCTTTTACCATCGTGAATCATTAATCTTTCTTTAGAATTATTTATGTATACTAATGTTGTTCTTTTTATTTGGCTATTACCGAGTTGTCTGATAAGATAAGTGTGGATTACAACTCAGATTTTGAGCAGCTTCAGAATAGTGTCAGGCTTTCCTCAACAGTTGTCAGTGGTCAACTTATATGGGTAGCTACTCAAAAGGACATCTGGGGTTAGGACATCAAGGTTGGTGACCTCTTCAAAGCAAGCATGCTGTTCTCTTCAACTCCTCAGATATCGGCACTCCACCTACAAGGACTAAGTTGGTGATTTGTCTAAAATATCAAGAAATAGTTAAAACATTCTTCGGTAGATAAAAGTTATTGTCAGATTTCAAGATCTACTTTATTGAAATTGAATAAGAAGTGCACTGTACAGCTCCTTCAACTAAAGTGGAACCTATCCAATACTACGGTATCGGTACTCACATTTCAGTGTATGTTAGAAAGATATTTAATTGACTTTGTTTAACGCAGTATAATTTGAAAGAAGAAATCTCATTTTATCTCATTTGTCTGTATCCATTATTTCCCAGTAAAATACTTAAAGGACTTTCTTACAAAAATGTATAAGCTTGTCAGTTGGTTTTCCTTAGGTTAAGTGAGGAGTCATGTCACAGTTCTCTTTGGTATTGTTCAATTACTCAATCATTCAAACATAATATATAATTAATATGAATTTGTATATTTGTGTATTCAAACCTCCAGTTATCTACTTACTGGAACTTTATCACTGTCATGGCTCTACAACGATTTTCATGATTATCGACCCATGCGCATGGTGTACTGCCTAATGACATAACCCGGACACGGTAAAGGCTAGTGACCCGAGGTACGCATAGCATGGCTCTTTAATGAATATGAAGCTATGACAGTGATGAAGCTCCAGTTGGTAGATAACTGGAGATTTGAACACATGCATAATGTGAGGGGACGACAAATTTTTACAAAATTTTATAAACTTTTCAGTCGGTTCCCTTTGACTTAAATGGTGAGTCGTGCCAGTTTCGATTGGTATTGTTCATTCAAGTCAGTGAATTTCGGTCAGTATTTTTTTTTTATGATTTTCCTAAACTGTATACGCCAGTTTCTTTATTCGTGGTATTGCAGCAGACAGTGTCGTAGCCAGAGGATAGGAGGATTGTGGCGTATAGATAGAGAATAAGGCGATATTAAACTGCACAGATACTGCCAAAAAATACTTTCTAATATATCTCCCTGTAAACATCATATATATTCAAGTGGGTTTAGGGTGAAAGCTGTCACTCTAACTTCACATAACCTTGCATTACAGGGCGGGAGAAAATCCAGCTTTTCTAATTTAATTATAAAAATTTTGAACAAGATATGTAAACTAAAGATTAAAGATTAAAGATTAGAGAAGCAAAAGAAAAGAAGAGAGTAAGAGAGTTAAGTTAAATTGAGCTAAGAGTTTATTTTTGTGGAAAGACAATAAAAATATCAAAAATAATGTCGGACGATAGATAATTAAGTTAAGTTGTATATAACAAAAATTTTTATAAACAAAACTTTTAATAAGTTAAAAGTTGAATAAAAACTTGAATAAATGATAAAAAACATTAAGCAGTCTTGTGTATTTTTTTGGATTAACCACATATAACATATATATTAATGGTATAGAATGGTATGTAATATATAGTAGGTCTGTATAAAGCTACCTTATTGTTGAATAAAAAACTACGATTATAGTTAAGTATAAATAACATCGTCATCTTACATTCATTTCATTCCTACTTTCATTTCAAATGGAATGATATTCTTTACTTTGGACCCTAAATTATTTCTGAAGTATTTTTTTATAAACTTTTTTGGGTTTAGGAAATATAATTCAAGGTTTAGTGCATTTAAGTGAGATTAAAACTTATCGATATAATTTTCTATTTACCTAAAACAAACTCACATGTAGTAAAAATATATGCGATATTATTTACATTAAATAAGTGCTTTAAATCAGCTAAGCTTTTTCATAATCCTTGACCTACTATCATTATTATTTTTTATATAATTTTATTTTAGAAATTCGTTATAAAAACTAAAATCAATAAAAATAAGCAAACACACATGATAAGCATTTTTATCTGTAGATTTCTATTTCGACAATCTCACTAACAATCTCATGTCTGATATGCGATGGCACCTTAATATTTGCTTTAGTGCCAGTAAGGAATATAGATTCATAAACAAACAGAAATGGTTCTCTCGTTTTTGGTACACATGTGCCAAGTCAGTTTTATTTTTTCTATTTTGCCAATATTGACACGTCAACGGCAACGACAAAATCAAAGTCAAAGGCACTTTCTTCATCGTAAAATTTAGTTACACTTTATGTTTTTTTTTTGTTTGGTCCTTTTGAGTCCTGTTTTTATTTTCATTCAACAAAATCAACAAAATAACACAAAAAAAACAGTTAAAGTCTCTTTTCTATACAAACAAAATGTGTTTTCGGTACGACTCTGGTGAATGAAACCACCCAAAACAAATCCTTGAAAGCCTATTTGAGACGTAAGTCAAATGCTGAACGTGACAATTTCAGTGTTTCGTCATCATAAACAGATTTCTGTGTTATTCTGTGTTTGCACATTACCGTCAAGTTTATATATTTTCACCTTTCCATCTTTTTTTCCGGCAGTTCGGCTATAAACAAATCTCTCCTGACGTTTTGCATGCGGCTTATCATTATTGCCTCTGTAACTTGGCATTTATGCCATCTCAATTCTGGAGCCATTTAACTCTGCAAAAAATCTGCTCAATTTGATGGATAGACTCGTGCGACCTTTAACTTCATTTCTTATTGCTAACGTAGCATTGTTTACTTTTGATATTTTCCATTTTTTAGCTGTTGATCTTATTTCCTTCGGTCCTTTTATTTAGTTGATTTCATTTTTATATTTTACTCAATTTATGCTATGTGCTCTGCAGAGGTTATGCCTATGAAGCTAAGCCAGAAATAAGTCAACGTCACCATTGTCACCACTTTATCATTTTTGATTTTATCTTCTGGAGAGTAAAAATTTTTCATCTATATATTCTTTTTTGTGTAACTCTTTGTTAGTGATAGTGATTTTTTGAGGATTTCATCATATGTAAACTTTTTTGTTGTGACAAGTGGTTACCATATATTTCACAGATACTATTTCCTCTTTTATTTTGGTAACAAAATTTTTCCAAAAAAAAAATATGAAATACTATTAGGAAATAGCAAGAATTGTGCCTAAATTTTAGAAATTTTCTATTTCTCTTTGGGAAATCAGTTTTTCATATGAACTTGTCAATTCAGCTTGATTGATTTAGAGATATGAACTTACATTTTTAGAATTGATGGAGTACGTTATGGATATTAACTTCAGAAGAACTATTATTATTCGAATTTTAATACTTCTTTTGGTAGTAGGTAGATCATCAAGAACCATAATACATTCTGAAACTTGAACTTACTTACACCTCTTAGGAATACAAAACGTAGAGAATTCAGGTGCTGACACATAAAAGCTTAAATGTCGAAACCTCTGTTCAGCAATAAAAAATGACTGAGATTTAAGAAAATTAGAACGGATAACATATATTCAATTAATTTATTTAAGTTTTTGCTAGAAAATTAGTAATAATTTAATTATGGTAACAGTAATCCCAGTAAAGTTCACTCCTTATAATTGCTTTATCTTTATTTTTAACTTAATAAAGTATAATTTGAATCCATTTCCCTCACAAAATATACTACATTATATATAGGTATATTAAATAAATATATATATATTAGTTGCTTTGCATATTAAGTATTTTTTAGCATAAAGAGCCAAAGATTGGCATAATTCATGACGTGACTTACGTGTGGAATGAAATTGGGTTTAGGAGTAAAAACACCTACCACCTATCATAGCGTATCGGTTCCGCTGATAGTAGAGTCTTCGGTTCGAAGGTTTATGTCTGAGCAATTTATAGAAGAAGGTTTATAGTTCCTCTAGAAGAATGTTTATAGACAAGCTATTATTTGATACATATTATCAACTTCTGATAATTAGGAAATTTATATATATGTAGCATTAGCATTCGTACATCGCAGCAATCAAAAATTTAATTTAAATGTATTGACATTAGAAAAATTAGAAAATTTAGTAACAAAAAAGTAAGTAAGAGATTCGTTTCCAGTTTTCAGATCAAGAAAATGTCAGAATATAATAAAGTAAATACTAGCTTAATATATATAGCATTTGTGTGTTTCATTTTGCTCTAGCAAGAATAAAGACACAGAAAGTTGCACAGAAAGATATATACAAGCAGATTTCGTCTTTAAATACTTTAAAATAAGTATTTCAATTTCTTCAATTTTTCTTGAATTTTTTTTATCTTTTTTAGTAGCAGCTCATCTATTTCACTCGCAAAAATAGGCACAACTATCCGAATGCTATTTTGGCTAATCAAGTTCAGATAATGAATGCAACAGATCAGCATTTTAAAATAGAAGCAGGAATGTGTATGACAGGTTGACTGCATTGCTGTCAATAACAGAAAAGCTCATCTTGTTTGTAGGAATTTGTTTGAAAATATTTTTGGTACTCTAACAAAATTTTAAATTTTTTAATTTCGCAAATATAATTTTTGATTAAATATTTTTGCTTGCCTTGACTTCATAGCTCAGAATAGCATTTTTGTTCCACTTAAGCTTAACTGCTGTGTGTTGAGCAACCTTATTTTCAAAACAATACATTAGAAATGCTAAACATTCCTCAGTTTAAGATAATAGACAAGTAAAAGTGAACGCATTTTTAAATGCAGCAATATTTTATCCTTCAACTCTTTGTGCCTTTGCAGTGCAGTTTTCATGAAAACTCAACACCTCTCAAAACAAATTTTGCACTTTATGCACACAAAAGGGCAGCGAACTGTGAGCTCAGCAGGAGCAGCAAAAAACTTACGTCGAAATGAGAAAATCTTAAACGAAAAAAAGGACCTAACAAAAAAGGACGAAACAAAAACAAAAAATTAGCAGAAAATGCTACGTACATGGACGTGCATTAATGCCATTCAACAAAACTCTTATTTACTAACACATACACGCATTTATTTTCGCCTGCATATGCACATTCACATTTACTTTCATGTATGCAATGGCATATTTTTCATTATCCTTTTTCAAAAAAAAATAAAAAATCCTTTCAGTGAGGAGGACCCCTCATCACTGAAACACACTAGAAACCAAGCATTTTTGTAAGTGTATTTGTTTTTATCTGCATTTGTAGAAATTTAAAAAGCAACGTTGGCGTACGTTTATTTATTCTGCTCGCTTTGTTTATTGTATTTGTTTTGTTTATTATTTATATGGTGTATCCTGTCACTCAATTTAAATGTTTCTTTTTTCTGTTATGTTGTAAAAATAATTTCGTATCCTTACAAAAATTTTTTGTGTTTCTATTTCTGGTATATCATTCTGTTTTTAGATACTATTTATATGTGTGCATGCACGAGACCTAAATGATTTTATAAGCAAAAAAAGAACGGACAAATAATGTTTTTCACACATACTTAACAGGATATACAAAGGGATACTCCTACATAAGCACTTAATGTTCTGCAAAAGTTGTGTTTAGCATGTGTGAAATATTCAAAAATAACGTGCGAATGAAAAATTTATAAAATATTTAAATAAACATTTCATATCTTCACACAAACACTGAACGCAGTTCGTGTGCTTGTCTAAGGATAAAATATTTCAATACACAGAATAACACTGCAATATTAGGAGAACTCCTTTTAGTATCGTGAAATATTATTTAGGGCTTTTCCAGTTATTTTCCATTTGAATAATGACCACCGGGATTTTATTTATTGTAACAAATATTTTTTTATTGTATATTTTTAGGCTTTCAGTTATTTGAGAGAATCCGGTTGGATATAAATAATATGTAAGTCATACATTTTATAATTATAAATAACAAAATGACATATAATAATTACCACGATCTTAAAAGCCAATATGTTTAACTAACAATTGCAACTAGAACTAAATTGAAGCTTTCTGCTATAAGGAACAAATTTCTCCTCCTTCTCTGGACATTTTTTTATACGTTGATCTTAAGGATTTGTTTTTGTTAAGAATTTGATTTAAATCCCCAACCACTACATCCTTTTTTAAATAAAAACAAATAAAAACGCAACAAGATGTATATTTTATAGATGTATATAGATGTATATTTTCGTTCCAATTTTGTTTTGAACTTTTTTCAGTATCATGGATTCAAATTATTACATCATTCTAAATACATTTATTTTTTTGCGGTGCGTTTAAATGGTCGAACATCACATTGTGAAGCTTGAACATACTAAAATTACTTCTTACGAAAGAGTTGAGAAGATTTCAACCGGAAGTCTTTCACAGTCTGATGGCTCTCTGATGGCATTTAGTAATAAGTGATTGAAACATAAGAAGTTTAGAATTTGAAGTTCCAAATTTATTTAAGCTGGAAATACGAGCGTATTATACCTTAATTATGGATGATGATTGTTATTTACAAAAGTTTAGGACTCTTCGCAACTCTATGTAGCAGGTTGCTATATCAGCGATTGAACAACGAAATTGTATGAGGGGAGTTATCCATTTCATTAAAATAGAGAGCTAGGGATTGGGAAGCCCTGTAGGAAAGACGTTCGAGTAGCTCAGTTGGAAATTCATCAGTATACTGTGGAAAATAATGTAGGATACTAATAACTATTAGAAAACGATTATACACTTTTTGCTCGTTAAATTTGGAAGTATCTACATTGAAATAAATGTAAATCTTTTTTTGAGTAAAAATGTTTCACTCTATTATTTGGCATATCGAAGCTCTTACAGTAGCAATTATGATCATTACATTTGATCACGAAATCCAGTGGGAAGGCGATACATCAGTACTTAACAGGCTTATTTAAGAATACTAGATAATGATGGCTTAATCAATACTAAGCAAGAAAAGCTCCAAGCAGTAGTGCAGTAGTATTTTGTCTTGGCAGTATATAGTCACTAAGTCATTGATAAAATAAACAGATATACTAAGCTCTCACACTTCTGCTGGTATAGCGATCTTGCCGATTTATTTAAGCTATTGGAATAATATATAAGCAGAGATTTGCTAAAATCCGTTGTGAAGTACAAGTAGAAGCCAGAAATAATTTTAGGAAAAAATTTGCTTTAGTATAAAGTTCACTAAATCTTAATATGTGAGTCTACAGCTTTCTTAATAATTAGGTGAAATGAAGAAATATATAAATTAATAAATATTAACTATATATTATGTTTTGAACATTTTAAAGATTAAAAGAAGTTCTAAAGTATTCTTAAAAAGGATCTTATAACAAATTAAGATTCAATCCAATGTAGCTTGTGAGTACTTAAAATTTTTATGAATATATACTATACTGAAACTGAAGTAAATCATTGTTTTGAGAAGGTTTCAAGAACGGTCGGGTGTCTTCGTCCCGGAGCTACTCGTCAACCACAACGACCAAGTGGTGTTCACCACCCACGAATGGAATCTGCAAGCAGATCCCAGCGGGTTACGACAACAACAACATTGTGTTGAGCACTTAAGTATACCAAATGAGCAATTTAACGTTATAAAAGAGTTGCCAATCATATAGGCACAGTATTAATTATCATAAAATTATATATACACCTTGTATATGAAAGAATTTCTACTACTTTAATAGAACGCAGAATTTCCAAGCCAAATTTTTAAAAAATTTATAAATTTTTAGTTTTCTGCATCAATTTATAATATTTTCTAATATAAGTGTGGTATAATTGTTTTATTATGAGTTCGTAACTACTAAATATATCATCGTGCCTATAATATATAAGTTTAATACAACAAAAAGTTTCATTTAATTATCCATATATTATACTATAATTCAAATGGCTACTTTATATATGTTTTATGGTGAAGATTTTTTTTCCGTACATTAAAAAGTCCACAAAAAATGTGCATACATTCCAGAAACTCTTTTCTGGAGCCATAAATATTGTGAAGCTAATAACTGTGGCACTGTCAGTGCAGCAAATAAATCATTTTTTATGCTGCACAAAATTAAGTGAACTTCTTGATGACAATCAACGTGCAGTGGTGAAAGGTTCTCGCGTTCCCTGACACTGCATTCCTGATGTCACCACAAGACACATACTTGCATTGTCTATACCGTTACCATGAAAGGCAAATAAAGAATGTGAGGTTATCTATGTAACACATGCACTTGAAATAATATTTTTGCACAGAATTGCAGGGCTCTTCCGAAGAAGAGATTTCATCAATGGTAACGGAATTTGCATAACCCAAACTGAAATAAAAAGACACTCCACACTGAAATCACATAAATTCTTTGCGTTTTACTACTTTATTGCGCTTATGGACTTTTGTGTAATTCCGTAATAACTTGAGATTGACAGTAAGTAAAAAGATACACATGCTAGCACATACAAAGCAAAGATAAACTTTGGAGTTTAATTATTCTCTTGCACAGAAGAACACTCATACGCAACGTAGTGCAGCAGTGACTTAGGCAAGCTTAACTCGTGGGATTTGTGTACGAATTTAAATGATTTAAGTGCGCCAAATATTAAAATAAGATTTAAAATGCAGCTTAAGGGGGGTGGTCTTTAAAAATGAGGATGCATGCGTGTGCCATAAACTAAATATATAACTTTTGATGCTAACATTAATTTTGCGCTTTTTATGACATTTGTCTATTTTACAATCAGAATGAAAGCTCAGAAAAATATATGAAATATAAAAAAAAAACTACAAACTTTTTGGCACATAAATTTGAGACAATATGCACAAACAGCTCCACCTTAGATGAGTAGGTCGAGTGGGTGTCACATATATTTGTGTCACAATAAAAATAATGTTAATACCAAAATTTCAAAGGCGTGTTTCGCTGCTTCTACCAAAATAGAGGAAAAAATTTGAAATTATTCATAGTAGCAAAAGCAAAAGAGGGAAAAGTCAAAAACAAAAAAAAAAAAATAAAAAGGAAAACTGAAATTTATAGCATTGGGAGTCCTTAACGATGCTCTCTTATTGGTACTATTGTCCTTTTGCAGTGTTTCCGGCACGCATAACGCTTCCAAATGACACGCCATCAAAACCATCAACATTATCAGCATGAAACGATTACATAACAACAAACAGAATGCCACAGCAGATGAACACAGTAGCACTACAAACAGACAAATGTATCCCAGGCAGTTATGTACTACACTATAGTATATATGTATCTACATACACAACATAAACATGAACAAACGTTTGTGTTTCGGTTTGTGTCTATGCACTCGCTTATACGTCAACAAATATGGAGTCATTGACAGTGCTGGCTGGCATACTGCAGAGCCATTGAGACACCCATAAACATTTCAGTCTGTTGTATGCAAAAGCACTGCATGACAACTAAAACAACAATAATACAACAGTAGCAACAGTAACAACAATAACAACAATAACAATAGCGAAATGTATTGAAACAAACAATAAAAAATAACTAAGCATAAGACGACCGCGTTGATGTTAAAGAGCGGAAGTAGCCAACACCGCCAACACCGCCAACGTGTGCGACGGAAGTAGTCATCAGCATGCACATTCAAATACAATTCACACAAATACACACCCACTT